TCAAGTGATTTGTGTAAGGTAGGGACTAAAGTTTCCTTTAAAAAATAATGAAAGGAAGTAATATTTAAGGTAGTAAAATAAAGTTTAAGGTAGTGATATAAAGTTTCCTTTAAAATGTGTGAAAAAACAAATAATAGCATGGGTGGTATTTAGATCTGGCAAGCTTGTGAATGGGACACACGATTAATGAATGTTTTGGATCTCTGGAGAAAGACAGACACCCCTGGGAGGAGTGAGGCCTCGAGTGACCCTTCCAAGACCGACCTCCCTTGCTGCCATGCTCTGTGACTCGGGGGTTATTTTTAGGCTTTCCACCTGAGACAGGTGGAGGCATCATTTAAAAAGTTTAAGAGGCCTAAGCATAAGTCCAGACTCTGTCACAGAAAGGGTAGAGGCCGATGTGGGAGCTCAAGGCTGAGTTCTGGCTCTGCCCTGTGTCCTCCCAGGCTATGAGGCCCTGGATAATCCTGTAAATCTCCATTTCCTTCTTCACTTGCCTCACAACAGTGTCTTCAACACAGAGAATACAAAGTATGATAAAAAATACAGTGAATGGTGCTGTTGAGTGCCATCCATTGGAAAGGTAGACTTCGAAAACCATTATGTTGTGCCCTCATCCACGTTATTCACTAGATCTGGCACCATGAGACTTCTGGCTCTTCCCCAAAGTCAAAATGACCACGAAAGGTAAACATTTAGAGTCGATTTAGGATATTGAGGCACCATGACTGTGCAACTAAAGACACAAGAAGACTTGCAGAACTGATTCAGAAAGAGGCAAGCATGACAGGATAAAAGTGTTCAATGCAGGCTGGGTGTGGTGGCCCAGTCCTGTGCTCCCAGCATGTGGGAGGCTGAGGTAAGAGGATCGCTGTGAGTTTGAGGCCAGCCTGGGCTACATAATGAGTTTAAGGCCAGCCTGGACTACATAGAGAGATGCTGCCTCAAAAAAAAAAAGAAAGAAAGAAAAAGTGTTCAAAGCAAGGGGGAGTATTGTGAAGAGGATTAATGGCAATGTGTCTTTTATAGTAATCATTTTTAAAATTTAAAATATCACCTAATTTTTGATCGATCAATCACACCTTATATATGAAAACAGTTTGAAATTCTTACGTCGTTATAAAAGATTATCAATATCATCAGTTGAATCACATATACAGTGTCATTCAAAATCTCAAAACCTTTCCAGTACAGACAATCAGAAGTAAGCCTGGGGCTGGAGATTTAGCTCAGTGGTTTCGCTGCCTGCTGCGCAAGCACAAGGACCTGAGTTCAATGCCCGGTACCAAAAAAAACCCCAAAAAACAAAAAACTATTTGGCTCCCCCAAAGCAGAAGTAACCCCGAGGCTGGAGGAGAAGAGGTAGGTGGTGAAATGTGACAAGGGGACATGCTGAGGGCTGGGGCCCAGCTGTACAGTCTGGTCTGCACCTGGGATCACCTGGAGGCTGACGTCTGGGACCTTGGGCTGAGACCTCCCCTGACATGGAACTCCTCGGTGATGGCTGGGACAAAAAGCCTGGTGTTTGGAGTCAGATGTCTAAAGCACAGGTTCCAGCCCCACCATGTACAGCTGGGTGACCTGAGTTACTTGCAAGTTACTTGATCTGTCTGTGCTGTTACTCTCACTGCTAAAATGGGGGTGATATCAATCTCTCTGGCCTCCTGGAGGACTGGATGAGATCACACGAGTGTACATTGGACCTCTCACATAGTGCTGAGTGAGTATGAATTCCAGGGAATTCTGCAGGTTCCTGGAAGAAAGACATAGGAGTGATTCAGGGACATGATGTCATCTGGAGCACTGGATTCATCATTTGGGAGGAATGGGCTCCGCAAAACATCCCTGACCTGGACCCAGTGCTAGACAGTGAAATTGCACCAGCTTCTGGACCAACTCCACATCTGTTTCCATCCCATGCCCTCAAACCCTGACCTCTCTGCACCCAAAGTGTGCTCCAATTCTCCCCCTTTGTCCAGAGCCCCCGCTCTTCGAGATGAGGGGTGCTGGAGGCAGAGAGGATCTCTGGAGAAGCAGCCAAGTGTGCTTTGACTTATGGAAGACCCTGGGGCCAGAGGGACCAGCTGGAGGTCCTGCTGAAGGCTCTGCTAGACTTTCTGGCTCCTCCACCCTTGGGAATCCAAGCATAAGAGGAACTAATCTGGCTCCCCTCTGCACCTCTTGCCCCCAACCCCGTTTCCTTCCTGCACTCTCTGGGAGAAGATGAGAGCTGGGAAGGAGGGATGTGTCTCGGGAGACTGGTCCAGCTCAGCTGGGCTGCAACATCTGTATCCTTAACAGCAGCCTCTCTGTCCCTGCTTCTAGCTGGAAGGGGATGGGAGATCCCAAGTCTTCCCAGGAAACAGTGATATGACTCACTTCCCAGGATAAGCCGTGAGGAATATGATCTTCTTTCTATGAAACCCATATAGAACTGCGACTCTCATGTACTTGTCTTGGGAAGGCAAAAATGAGGCACAGTGCATTTTAACAGAAAACTCCAAAATAACCTTGGCTAAAGCAACATAGAAGTTTATTTTCCTTTCACATAAAGTGAGTCTGGATGTAAGCAGGCCAGGGCTGGTATGGAAAATTCACACTGTTTTCAGGAGTCCAATTTCCTTTCAACTCAGGGTCCAAGATGACTGCAAGAACTCCTACCATCTTGTTTGAGTTATACGCAAGGGTGTGCAGATCAGGAAGAAGTAAGACATACTCCTTCCTTTAAGGATGTTTCCTGGGCTGGGGATTTAGCTCAGTGGTTTCACCGCCTGCCGGACCCGAGTTCAGCAAGGACCCGAGTTCGATCCCTGGTACCAAAAAAAAAAAAAGAAGAATGTTTCCCATCCTGGGGATTTAGCTCAGTGGTGCCTCAAGTTCTTTGCAAGGGTCCTGAGTTTGATCCTGGTACTGAAGAGAAAAAAAAAAAAAGAGGAATGATTCCCAGAAGTCTAACCCAACATTTCCACTTCTACCTATAACTCTCAGAAGTCCTAAGGGTTCTTAGAACTTAGTTACACCCAGTTCCAAATAAGGGTGAGAAATGAACACTTTTACCAGTGCCACATTGATTCTTCCATGGCTGCTGTCTTGGTTCAGGTTGCTCTTAGCTCTGCAGTGACCACAGATCTGATCTTTCCTCTAGGCCCAACCCTTCAGCTGCCCCCACTTGTTTCTCCAAAATATATATTGGCCATGCCCCTCTCCTTCTCAAGAACCTGTGATGGCTCCCTGCAGCCCTCAGAATAAACTATGAATTCTCAGCATGGCCTTCAGGTGCTTCCCGATCTGACCCAGCCCTCCCCTCCAGGCACAGCCTCTCCTCTACCCTGCATATTGTCTAGCCCCACCAGAGTCCTCATGTTCCTCAAATGACCCGTGCTCTGTCAAGCTGCTCTCCTTGACAACCACACTCTTTCTGTCCCTCTGCTCCTGATGACATCAGTTCCTCCTGTAAGATACTACACACTCACTTCTTTCTCTGTATGAAGCCTTTCTTGACCCCTTTTCCAGCCCCCTCTCTGGACCTTCTCTGAAGTCTCCAGAACATCCTTTCACATCATGCAGGTGCTTGAGAAACAGGCCATTGGAGCCTCAGAGCTGTTCCATGTCTTCGTCAGAAGCCCTGAAGGCTTGGAGTTGTCTAAAACCACGTTGAGCCTTTCCCTCTGGATGGGAAGCCTCTTGAGGGCCATCACTACTTGGTGTGCCCAGAGCTGGGACTGAGTCAACTGGACAAATGGAGGCCCCATGAAAGGCCCAGCTTCCTCTCTGCCCATCATTAGCTCCCCCCAGTCTATTAGGGCCTCCACTCTCCATGAGCAGCAGCTCAGAGTTGGCTGAGAGGGGCCCATGGATGCTCCTGCCCTCCCCACCCAGCCACCCTCTGAAGCACAGATGACAAGCGACAGGACCAACACTCCAGGGGGACACATTAAAGTAGAGCAGACATAGGCCTTCATGAGGTGCTCACTTAGAACCAGTTGGGAGATGTTTTGTCTGTGCCATCTCCACTGACTCCCATCCACATCTGTGACAAAGATGACATTGTTCCTGTTAAGAACAGAGTCCCTCCCCATCCCTGGGGGGGGGGTGTCTCAGGACCAGGGTAAGCTCTGTCTCTCTTGCTGAGTAGAGATCCAGGCACTTCACCCACGGCTGGGCAACAGTCACCTCCCCAGACCCTGCACCCTGTGACCCAGTGTCCTGAGAACCAGAGGCTGCTCCCTCCACCACTGGGGATGCTGCACCCCTGAGGTCCTTCGCAGCTGCTCAGAGAGTCCTTTGGTTATGGCCCAGGCCAACATGTCTGGGACATTAAGACTTCTTAGGCTGAGGAAGTCTTAGGCCCTAGTTCTAGAGCCCTTCTTGGCAGCCCCATCACAGACTCTCCCCGCTGGGCTTGGGTGCTTTCCTTAGGAACAATGATGGTCAGGAGTCCCAGGCCGAGAGATCTGTATTTATTTTACACACATGCACACACATGCACCCCACCATCACTTTCCCCATCCTGTGTGCTTGCTGCCATTTTGCACCTTGACTGTGGTTCTTTGGATGCTAAACCTGACTTGACTGTGATTATCTCCGAACTGGGGCCCTTTCTGTCTCCTTTTGCACCTGGCTCAAAGAAAGGGCTCAGCTGAAGTGGGGGCCCTCTTCTCTGCTATCTTCTCCCCAAATCTCACTCTATGGAGAAGGAGGTGTGTGACGTTGGATCTACTCTTTGGAGGGCAGAGGATTAATGCAGAAGCCTCATCTCTTCTGGAACAGTTTACCCGGCTGGTAGCTAGTGGGGTCTGCTTGAAGCTCGATGGTGATCAGCTGGCCCACCTCATTCTTCCTTCTCCAGGAAATAATCATAATCGCTGAAGTTATTCTGCACTTACAAAGTACCGGGCTGTGTGGTCAACCTTTTCTTTCTTAGTTAAGCCACACAGCCAGCTTCTGAGATGGGAGAAAAGAAAATAACAGAAAAAGAAGAAAGCTGAAAAGACTTGCCTGAGGTCGAATAGCTAGTAAGAAGCAGTTTCTTGATCCTGTCCCAGTGCTGCCTCCTTGTTCAGCCCCAAGAGGTCTTGTCCCTCTCTCTCTCTCTTGTCTCTGCTGTTTGGTGGTTGCGGGAGCTTGCATGAGTTACTTGCCCTCTCTGGGCCTCCATTTTCTCATCTGAAACATGGGCACAATAATACTTTTCTCAAAGGTGCAGGGAATGTGTCCACGTCTTGAGTATGTAAAGCACACGCCTGGCAGAGAGCAGAGATGCCACCTGCCAGAGGGAGTGGGAGGTGGAGGAAGGGGTGACCTACTGTCCCCAGAAAAAGACTGAGAAGCAGAGCCATCCAGCTGTCATCCAGAGCGGGATGCCCTGAGCTCTCGTGGGCTCTTAGTTTCTCCAAAGGTTCTGTTCCACATCACCGCTGATTAGTTCCAAATAGCTCCCCCTCCTCATGTATCACTTACACTCGGAGAGAAAGAGGCAATTGTTCCAGAGGGATATGGTCTCTGGCCCCTCTCGCCAGAGTAGCTGAGAGATGAAACAGGCATGAACAGGGCTTAGAAGAAGAGAGACAGTCGCAGGAAATACAGATGCGGTGGGTCCCAGGCAGGTGGGAAGGGACCGGCTGAGTGTCCACCCACAGTAGACTGCAGGCTTACAGGAGACCAAGACTCAGAAAGAGCCCAGAGCTGTGACAGCAGGAAGGAAAGGCGGGCGGTTACTAGCACTAGCTCATTACCCTGATTCCTCGACAGCAGCTTCCCAACAAATGGGGAAGGCCCCATGCCCTTGGGTAGATGGAGCATAGCAGGTGCCTGGCTTCTGGATCTCACATCACTGAGATCCAAATGACCCCTCAGAACAGCAGGTCGGCCAGCTCCCTAGACCCCTTGGTTTCGGTAAAGCCTAGGGGTTGAGGCCGAAGCCCAGAAGAGTCTAGAAGGAGGCTCAGGTCAGGGAGACTGTCTAGAGGTGAGGTGGCCCCCAGGACCTCCCTGTGCTCTTGGAGGTGCTTGCTTTTGCTGCCACCACTAAGCTAGACCCTCCATTAAAGCACCAGACCGAGCATGCTCAGAGTCCCCTTGTCATTCCTCTTAGCACAGCTGAGACCAGCTGGCATCTTCACAAAGGGCTTTACTAAATACTAAGGGAGAACAAAAGGGAAATAATTACAGAAAACACGAAAAACCCAGCCCTGGCTGCCAAGTTCCCAAAGTACAGTTTCCATTCCTTTGGTGACAACACGTCGTCCCAGAGGTCTGGGACAAGGCTGTGGGCACCTCTTCTGGCTTCCCTTGTTCGCAGCCTCGATGGTGGGTGCCATCTTGTTTCCCACCCTGGGAACACATGGTCACCCTTGGGCTCATCTCTTGGCCCTCTTCCCACTCTGCTCCACCCCAGGCCTCCCACTAGCTTCTGGTCTCTGGCTGGAGGCATGAGCCTTGTCCTCTGTGGGTGGGTGGGTTGTGGTGACCAATCCAGTATATGATTACACAGTAATGGGAATTGGTTCTCCCATAACCCTCCCCTGTGAGAGGCCCACCCAAGTTGAAAGGTCTTGAGTATGATGTGGGAGGGGGTCCTTCTAAAGAGCTGAAGGGCATGTGAGTAAGGAATGGGCAGATTTGGAACACTTTCCCTGTGGGTGGGGAGAGGAGGAGTCTCAGAGATTGGCCAACTCAGTGCATACTAATGAAGCCCCTAGTGTGCACTTTACTAGGCACTGAGCAAGGTGCTAGAGACACACAAGTGAAGAAGAGACACAATCTCTGCCCTCTTAGATCTTACAGCTTTGAGACACACAGATGAGAAACTGGGCAATTACGATGCTGAGGACCTGGTGCCACTGTGGAGGGGCAATCCCAAGCGCTATGGGGACCTGTATGAAGGGCATCTTGCTCAGGTTTTGGTGGCCAGGGGAGCTGCTGGACCCTACCTGGAAGAGGTGCATAGGGAAAAGAAGGGCTCAGGACTTGAGCTGGGATGTATCTGCAGGAAACTCCAGCCCAGGAGGCAGGAGAAGAAAGTAGAAGAGACTAACCAAGCGTCGCCTTGCTAGTGATCTTGGGCTATAGCTATAAAGCATACTCAGCCTATGAAGTGAAAAGACCCCTTTCTCAGAGCTGCCCACAGCTGCTCTCTGCCAGCTGAGAACGGAGGATTTGGTCCTTGGACGGGCCATTTCTCAGCCACTTGTGGCTGCACCCAGGGGTCTGGGACAAAGGTCAAAAAGACAAGGCCATTGAGAGAGCTTCCTAATGAGAAGGAAAGGTCACAGGAGGGGAAAATTTTAGAAAGCCAAGACATTGAAAAGACTAGACCAAAATGGGAAAATGAGGTAGAAAGCAGAAAGCCAAGAATTAGGATAGATTAGGGCAAATGTTTCAGGTGAAGGGCACAACTAAGTGTGTTCTTCAGTGTGAGAAGCTCTGTGTTTGTGACAGCCTTGGGAGCCACGAGCTGGCCTGACGTGCAGACCGGAGCCCAGCACTGCTTAGGGCTTAGTGTTTCTCCAGCCTGGCCTCTCACACTGATGTGCATTTGCCTGACTCCCTGAGACAGGGTCAGCTCCTGGGATTAGGGCTTCTTCCTCCCACACATCAGTAACTCACTCTGCTCCATCCAGGGGAAGATCCAGAAAAGAGTCTAGGCCTCAGCCCTGCCTTCAAGGGACTTGCTCTCTGGTTGGGGACAGAGCTCATGATTACTGGAAAGAGTTTAGAGAAAGAGAAGCTAGATCCCCATTGCTACTCCTTTATGGTAGCTAAAGGACTACTGGCAAATTTCTTACATTCTCTGGACCTCATTTTCTCATCTTCAAGGTGAGAATAATTATTGGGCTGTGGATGTCACTCAGTGGCAGAATGCATGCAAGCTTCAATCCCCAGAACCATGGGCAGAGGGGATAATTTAAACTTACTTCATGGGGTCGTGGGCAGAATCCAATGAGTCAAGATGTTTGAAGCACAAGGCATGCTGCTTGGCATACAGGAGGTGATCAGTCAGTATTAGTTCTCTCTCTCTGAAACAACAGCAAAGCACAGAGGTAATAAACAGGTTAAGTGTTAAACTGTAGACAGTGATCCTGCCATCCTCTTAGCAGGGAGATCTTTCAGAGGACCTCGATGGCAGTTGAGGACTGGTCTGGATCGTGATGAACACAATTAGTGCCTGTGTATGTGTGTGCCTGTGTGTGCACAAATTTCCCCATCCTCTTGCTTCTCTGCAATTCACAGAAGCATAAGCTTCTTTATTTTCTGTTTCTTGTCCATGCTGTCAAGGGCTCTATTCTGTAGCTGTAGTATTTTTATTTCTCTAATAAGAATTTAAAATTGAATTAGATATCATGTCCAGCAGCTACCATTGCTTGCACCTAGGTGCCTCAACAGTCCCCGCACAATCCTAAGGGGGAAGCGCTGTTCTTCCCACTTTCCACATGGAGGGGGCAGGCCTGGAGAGGGAAGGCCAGGAAGGGAGGTTATATGGTTGTTCAGCAGTGGGTCCTCAACACAGGGGAGCAGAGCTCTGGAACATCTGCCAAGGAATGGAGGTACCCTTCTAGGATTCACAGATATTGCCCAAGACATTGAGGTCACTCAGGAGTGAAGAAAGAGGGCTTTGGCACCCCCAGCCATCTGTTTCCCCACAAACACAAATGTCACAGGAATCTCTGAATCACATCTCTGGCACCTGGGGCAGAGCCTACAGCACAGGAGGCCTAAAGTAATGTGTGGAATGAAAGAATGAACACACACGCACACACACACACACACCCTTACAAGAATAGTTCTAGGCGAATATGCTCAATACGTGTCAAAATATTTAGTATACATAAGTACAGTGGACCCTCGAGTTACAACTTGCCTGATATATGAACAACTTGGGTTATGATCTGAATTTTAGTTTTTAACTTACAACCAAAGTCTTGAGCTATGACCCAAATGCCAGCTGCTTGTGCTTCCAGATGGTCTCAGATACAGATTTAACCTTTAAAGAGCTCTGGAAGGAACAGTACAACATCGTTTCCTGTACGGGGTTAACTGAGAAATCCGGGGCCAATGTCTTTCTCTCTAAGGGCACTGAGATCTGCCTGTATACAGGAGAGAGACTTTGAAGGCTGTGTAAAGGGGCTGAGCCTTCAATAGACCAACTTGAGTTACAACCAGATCTTGGGAATTGAGTTCGTAAGTCAAGGGTCCACTGCATATACAATGCAGATACTTACATACATATTTGTGTACAATACACACTCATGTCCACATGGACAAATCCAGATCAGATACACACAAACACATGCACATGCATACACAGATGTTATAGGCAAACCTATGATGCAGCTATCTATAGTACACAACTACTCACTCTCGAGCGCATGCACAGCAACACTCCAATAGGACCTTGGGGCCAGGAAGGAATCTGTCCAGCTTAAGAACCTAGTATGTTGGAGCTAGCCAGCATGTTCTTTGCAGGCCCTGCTCAGCTGACCGGTGACTGGCCCCTGACTCCCGGATCTCCAGGCTTAGGGCTGGCCAGGCAGGGAGGCAGCATCTCTGGCAGCCCCTCGTGGGTGGGCAATATGCAGCAGAAGCAGAGGTCACTGAGGTGAGAACTGGGGCTGCCCTGGCCTCCCTGCTTCTGGCTGAAATGTGAGTCAAAGGGGCCACCTCCTAGGCCCATCTCCTCCCCCACAGCCACCTACCAGCCCCAGCACCAGCCAACTTGTGACTAAATCCTGCCAGGTTCTTGCAGCCAGGGAGATGCACGTAGAGGGCCATGAGGGTGGTGGTGGTAAAGAATGGTTGAGGACCAAGGGAGAGCACATGCAAGTGTACTGGAGGCCTGCCCCGTATTCACACACCGAGAGGGCACACACATGCAGATACACAAGCAGGCAGAGAGGCTCAGAAGCCCTCCAAAATACATATTCAGATACATTTCCAAACACAACCAAGCACACAGATACCCAAAGACCAGGCGTGCATACAGAGTCATATCTTGATGTCCCCGGACACCTGGACACACGGATCATACACAAATGCCTGGGCACAGGCAGACACACGGACTGGGGCACTGGAACTTTTCCTTTTCAGCCTGAAACCAGGAGGAGATGCCAGGCTGGCCCACTCTCCACCTCTGTGGGCTGGCTTGCAGGGAGGGCCCTGGTGGGCTGCTGGGGGGGGGTGGGTAGAGCTGGACCTCCTAGCCAGGTGCCCTGAGGGCTTCCTGTGAGCTGCCTCCTGCTTTCTAGGTCAGAGGGTGGCAGTTTGGGTAGAGAGACGGTCCTGGAGTCACTTAGCTTGGGTTTCCTGTCTGCCCAACTCCCTGGGTGCAGACAGAAACAGACACACACACTTTCCAAGAGTCCACGTGTGTGTGCAACATACCCAGACAGGTGACGCTCACAGACTCTATGAAATGGGATTAGCAATCTTTCCAGCCCCCAAAAGATTGTGGAGATAGCATGAAGTGGTCACGAAGGGCTGCTGGGGATCCAGTGCTGTCTTCCCGGCGGAGGCCGCTAAAGTCCTGAGCCTCGATGGTAGACGATCAGGTGCGGCGCCTATCCGAGGCAGCCGGCCTAGAAGAGCCAGGCCGGGCGCGAGCTGGGGCCCCCGGGGTCTGCGCGTGCAATGCCCCTTCTTACGTGCCTCGCGGGGTCAGGCGCGCGCAGGTCCAGGCAGCCACCGCCGCACCCGGCCCGCCCGGCCAGGGCCGGAGGCTCGTTCGGTGGGCGGGGCCGGCCTGGAGCCCCGCCCCGATGCACAGCCTTGAAACCCAGTCGCCGACAAGCTTCGGTCCCAGAAGGGAGCTGCTGTCCGAACAGGAAACTGCATCTTCAGACTCCTGCCCAGCCACGAGAGGACCAGGGGGTTGCACCGAGCGCTCGAGGACTCTTCCCCGGATCACGCCAGCCCCACGCTTCCCGGACCCTCCGGGCTGCTCCCCTCCAGGTTCGCAGCCACAACCTTACCTGCGGGCTCCTAACTGCCCCGAGTGTCCAGAGGATGCTCAGGCCACCAGAGGGGACCTCGGGGCAGCAGTGAGGGGGACATCCTCACTCAGCTCCTTACTCAGCTCTCCTACTGTCCCAGGGGCTCCCCCAGGAGGACGAGCATGGTGATTTTCCTTCGGAGTCCCCTGGTTCAGGACGTCTGAGAAGATGCTAGCCTTGCAGTTGCTCACTTGCTTCCTGCAGCTCCTGGCTGGGCTGGCACTGCCTACTGTGCCCCCCAAGGTAAGAACTTCTCCTACTCCTGGCCTGGCTCCCCTGATCTGCTCGTCCCAGCGCTTGAAGCAGGGGACTCTGAAATCACAGACTCATGCCAGGGAGTAGCACTTCTCAGGATGTCCACACACTTCCCAGGGGCCAGGCTGGACCCATGGCTTCTGGGAGGACTCCTCAGTGGAGGCGGTCCCCAGCTCCAGGGGGCTGTCATGGTGGGGGGCAGGGAAGCCACAGAGAGAGAGAGAGGGAGGTTTCCTGTCTGGCCCCTGGAGCCATCGTGGCTTTGCTAAAATCATCTATCCCGTAATCCCAGGCGGTTCCCTGGCCTTGCGGTCAGGGTCGAGGCCCCATGACCAGCCAGGCGCCCCCAGGACCTCTGACCTGGCCTGGTGGAGAGGAAGCCAGCTGAGGAGGCTGCTGGTGGGTAGGCGAGGCCCTGCCCCCACCGGGCTCTGGGCTGAGCTGGGGGCTCTTGGGTGGGCTGGGATGAGACAAGGGGTCCTGCTGTGCCCTCTCTCCCGGGTGGGTGGCCGGAGGTCCTGAGTGCAGGGCCTGGGGAAGTGAGCAGGGCCCTTTTCCCAGGAGCCGGGTGAGTCTGGCTGGGAGCCAGCTTGGGCAGCAAAATCCTGACAAAGCCAATAAGCTCCCTTCCCACTCCACTTCCCTGCTGCCCTGGGAGTCCCCAGCCCCAGCCCAGGAGTGGGTGGGCTGGTGGGTCCTGCAAGGCCAAGCAGCCCAGCCACCAGCCTGTTCACTGCAGGGCTGGCCAGAGGTGTAACATTACCGGCAGCACTGGCTCATGGCGCCGCCTGCTCCAGCTCCTCAGCTCCCACCAGCTGATCACCTCCCCCTGGACTCTGGCACCCAGCCAAGGCGGGCTGTACAGGGCCCAGCAGGGCTGGCCTGGGAGCTGGGTAAAAGGGAGACCCCACAGGATTGCAAGATCTTTGGGATGCAGGAAGCCTCCAAAAGCCTCCAGCCTCCCCTGCTTTTCTAAAAGAGGAAACTGAGGCCAGGGAGAGGTGGGACCTGACCAGGGTCCACTTGGGTTTTTGTTGCTCCTGGGAAGAGGTGGCTCTGAGACATGGTAGTGTGTGCAGAGGGTGAGGAGGAGCTCAGAAGGGCCTCTACCCTCTTGTCGTTACACTTGACCCTGGAGCACAGAGCAAGAAGGTGACCTCCCCCCATCTCTGCACCTTTCCATCTACAGCCACGCGCCCTGTCTACTGGGAACAGTTCGTCAGAGGTGGAAGGTAAGCCATCCAGGCTGGGGGTACCATGCTCAGCCCCTCTCTTCTTTCCTTCAAGCCCCAGCAGAGGATGGGAAGGGATTGGCATGCAGGGTGGGTGCAGGCTAAGTTAGGGAGAGTCTCCATCCTGGCTGGCAGAGATGGCAGGGTCTGTGATCCAGCAGCCTAGAGAGATGTAGTAGTTCCAGGCCAGGGTTGTCCCCCACACAGAAAGCAGATCAGTATAGCCAGGGCCTGTCCGCCTGGCTCAGAGCCCCATCTCAGCATGCTGTGAGGGTGTAGATGGGGTCTTGGAGGACAGGGTGGGCAGGGGGTGCCAGGGCTCAGACTGAGAGTCTGGGCACTAGATGTATTGAGTAAGCAATCAAGAGAACCAGGCTGGGTGAAGGGCCTCCCCAGTAGCCCAGCCCTGGTGGAGCTGCAGGGATCTGACCAGGCCTTTCCATTGATTACAAACAGACAGAAAATGAGTTGTACCCTCCCTGGCCCCTCCACTCCCGCCCTGGGTTGCATCAAGAGGGAATCTTCAAAGGGCAGCGAGACGTTTGCCAAAGAGACATATGCGCAGGAGGCAGGAGGCCCATGCCAGGCCCCCTGCCTGGCTCCTCCCTCCCTGCCTCCCTGATACGTGCAGAGCAGCCATACACTACTACTGAGGCTTCCTGCTGTGCCTCAGGAGAGGAGCATGTAGGGATGTGCACTCGCACACTCGGGGTAGCTGTCTGTGGACTGGGAACACCCACTGCGGGGCTGCCACCTACCAGTCCACCTGGCAGTCGGCCTCTCCTGGGTCTGGAAGTTCCTTGATGCTCGAGGCTCAGACCCCTTGGCCACTAAACAGGTGAGAGGAGTAAGCTGCCTTTGGCTTCATTGACTCCCACCTTGCTGTCCTCTGGAACTGGCACACTATTATGCTCTCTGGGGTCTGAGGAGGGACCCATCATCCACCTCCACATCATTTCCTTTTTTTTAATGTTTTTAGCAGTTTGGGCAACAGCTACCAAAGATATCTGAGCCTCAGTTTCTTCATCTATAAAATGGGAGCATTAGATGACATGATGCCAAAGGCTCTTTCTTTTGCTACAATTATAGAATTCTCTGACTCTGTGAGGAGACACAGGTATATATATGTCCCAGGATTTTGGATGAGGAGGCTTGGAAGTGTAAACTCATTAGTTCCTCTCACCTGTCATCCTGATCACTGGGGGATGTGTGTACTGCACTGTGGTCAGGGAAGTGCGATGAGCTTTCGACCCGCTCTTAAAATCTGAAAATGCTATCTTCTTTCTGCTAACACCAGAGCAAGAGACAGCATGGTCAGGCACTGGACAAAGCTTTTTTTTTTTTTGGTACCGGGGATTCAACTTGGGTCCTTGTGCTTGCGAGGCAGGCGGTGGAACCACTGAGCTAAATCCCGGGCCCTGGCCAGAGCTTTTTACTGTTACTCTTCATGGTAGTAGTGTTGGATGTTTGCTGTCATTCCATCTGACCACAAGACTATGAAGTAGGAAGGAATTTGCATTCCCTGCCTTTACAGATGAAGAGCCTATGCTCAAAGAAGTCCTGGGGTCACCTAAAGCTTCAGGCACTCCCCAGTGTACCTGGGCATGCTTGGCACCAGGCTCCCAACTGCTGGGTGGCTGAGCAAGGGGGAGCAGGGTGTCAATGTGGCGGGCTGGCTGTGAGCCAAGCCAGTGAGGAGGACACCTGCTGGGCTGGGGCTGGTGGCCAGTGGCTTTGCCCAGCCCTGAGGACCCTTCCCAGCCCCAGCAGCTTCTCCAAAAGAATGTTCCCGGGATTAAACATTTCCCTTCTTGTGTCTTCTCTCTTCTGGGTTTTAAAGCATCTGGGGACAGATGAGGCCAGAGAGAGAGCTGAGAGGCCAGCAGTGGCCTCTGGGGGACACCCAGCCATAGGCTCAGGTTCCTCCCACCCCACCCCCACCCTAACTCAGAGCAGGTCTGAGGCCAGCGGAAGTACTTGGGAGCAGCTGAGCTGAGCTCTTTCCTGAGGGGCTCAGCCCACGTCTGAGTGCAGGCATTGCACTCCCTCATCCTGGCCCCTCACCCAGACTCCTTTGTTTCTCCCTCTTGGCTTGACAGGGGAAGATGAAAGACCCTCTTTCCCCCTGACTGCCAGGTAAACCAGGCCCTGGCCCACCTCCTTCTGGGACTTCCCCGACACAGTGTGGCCACCTGAGCTGGAAAGTGGCAGATTTCAGGATTTGGGGGCCCTGGAGACTGGGACCTATAAAGGCAGAGTTAAAGCAGTGAGTGCCGGGATGGAGAAAGGAAATCCCTTCTGCCACCAAGGCCCAGCTGGCTGCACTCAACCTGGCTGTGGCTGCCACCTGAGTTTGTGAGATTTCGAGGAGGCTCGGGTGCGGGTGCTTCTTTCTCTGTTGTTCCCCTCCCTGAAGGCTGGTCGCAGAACAGGCGCTGAGCTTTCCGTGGTGCTTTGTCCGCCGGCTCTTTTCTGCTCTTATTTATGTTTCTGAAGCAGAGATTAAACGTTCAGAGTGCCATAGTGGTCACAAAGGTTTTAGACTAAACACAGCTCATAGAACTGGCGATAGGAAGTTGCTCTCTGACCCCATATTGCAAAGGCAGCCCCCCCCCCCCAGAGTAGCCTATAGGGAGAGAGGCCATATTTCCTACTTGGGGCCAGGGTGAGTAGAGTCAGTGGCCTGCCCAGAGAAGTAGAGTCAGGGGGCCTCTGGATCCCCCTCCAGCCCCGGGCCAGCCCCAAACCCCAAGCAGAGCAGGCCAGGATGGTGCAAGCAGACACCCAGATAAGCACGGTTTATTGCCTGAGTGGCTGCCCTGCCAGCTCCACATGGACACGCCGCCTCTTGGGTATTTTCCACCAGCTTACAGCCTCTCCCAAGCGCCTCTGCTACAACTGGAGTTTATTTTTCTTCTGAGATTGTCCTGAGACTCATGTCCTCATAGGCTCAGTGGAATGGACTTCGGCTCCATCTACCCCCTAGGAAAGGCTGTAAGGGGGTGTGCTGTGCCAGGGCTGCTAGGTTCCCAGGTGACCCCATCCTCTGTCCTCCCCCAGTAGCTAAGGCTGACCACTGGGCATGGAGCAAGATGACATGGGCCTAGGGGTGTTTCTCTGCCCGAAGTCTCAAGCCTGGCCTGGGCTGGGTTGAGTGCACTGAATCGACAGTCTGTCAGAGCGGAAGAGGCCTTAGGAATCATCTACTCCCAGCCTTCTTCTTTTTCCCAGCTAAGGAAACTGATATACCCAGAAAGGTTGAGTGACCTTCCCAAGGTCACATAGTATAGGGCCAGGACTTGAAGCCAGATGTGCTGGCTCTGGCCGCTTCCTAGGAGCCTCTCCTTGGGCCTTATCCCCAGACCTTCTTCTCCTGAAGGAGCACCATCTTTTGAGGGATTCCAGATCAGCCCTAAAAGATCCGGTCACTGAAAGGCTGCCCCTGATAATGCTTGGTGAAGGATCATCTAATCAGACAGGAGTCACTTAGCCTGTGTTTACTGGGGTCTCGTTTCTGTCTTCCCAGAGCCCCAGTTTGGCTGTCAAGGAGATAAGAGCTACCAGTGATGCTGGGAGGAGGTGGACCCCAGGGCCAAGCAGTGCTACAGGGGGTAGCACCTGCAGGGTCGAACTGTTGGAGAAGGTTGCAGGGAGGAGGAGGGAGGTGCCTCGGGGAGCAGGGCCTGGGCTTTACTTGGATAGAAGTGAAACCAGGGAAAGATGCTGCTTGGAAATGAACGTGACGTGCCGTGGCTCCACACAGACTGGGGGACCACAGAGGAGAGGGTTGAACATGTGGCCGGATGTGGTCTTGGTTGAAGGCAGAGGAGCTGGCACCAAGTGGGGATTGGAGGAAAGGAGCCGGGGCAGGTTTGGGGCCAGAGAACAAAGGTTAAGGCCGAGTCTCCCTGCAGGACTCTAGAGCGCTTTTCAGCAAGTTTTCCAAGACAGGGAAACACCAGGTCAGGCCTGAGGGCCTGGGGAGCTGCCAGGGCACAGTCCTTGAAGCTTCAAGGAGCCAGGACAGACATGGGTACCTGAGTAGAGAACAGGGCTGAGTGCTCCAGACCTGGAAGTTTGCACCCAGTTAGAAGAGCTAAGGTCCAGCAGGTGCCCCAGAGGGGTCAAGTGAAAAGGGGGCTCAGACAGGGTGGGGGCTTGAATGGAAGCAGCATGTAGGCCGAACCTGTCTGTAAGGTCTTCTTGCCTCCCGTAGTGGTGCCCTTCCAGGAAGTATGGGGCCGCAGCTACTGCCGGACGCTGGAGAAGCTGGTGGACATTGTGACAGAGTACCCCAGCGAGGTGCAGTACATGTTCAGCCCATCCTGCGTCTCCCTGAACCGCTGCACTGGCTGCTGTGGTGACGAGCGCCTCCAGTGCATGCCGGTGCAGACAGCTAACATCACCATGCAGGTAGGGGTGGTCCCTGCTCCTGGTGCCCCTGCCTCACGGCCCATGCACTCCCACTAGAAAGGACTCAGAAAGGGAGAGGAGGCAGCCAAGGTCCCGGGCCTCCCAGGCCAGGGCCCCCCAGTCACCACTCCAGCCCAGGGCCCTCCTTCTGGAGCCCGAATCTCTCCTTGGAGCCCACTCACCTCAGGCCTCACCAGGTGTCAACCTTTTTCTTCCCCCCAGATCCTGAAGATCACCCCAGGGGTCCGCCCCTTCTACGTGCAGCTGACTTTCTTGCAGCACACACTCTGCGAGTGCAGGTAGGTCCTGGACAGGCACTGGGACAGGCTCTGTGCACTTCAGAGCCTTGTCAAAGATGGGCCATAGGGCAGAGGTGGAGGCGGCCCACTTGCTTCCCTGCTTTTATTTTGTGTCCCTACCAGCTGGTTTGGCCTAGGGAGCTGGTCCCAGTATAGCTGCCAAGATGCCCCAGGTGAAGAGGGAGCCTGGGTCCTTTCCAGACTTACAGCGGCCCAGTGCACATTGTCGCTGTCCTCTGAGATCGGAGGGAGCTGCACAGGCACCCAGAAGAGGCTCTGGAAGCAAAGACACAGCAAGCCTGGACTTGGTTCTGGCCTAGGCTGCATGCCCACTGGAGGGGGGAAGCTGGGCTGAGAAGCAGAAGCAAGGACAGGTCCTGGTAGGAGGGGAGGGACCAAAGAAAGGAGGCAGGCACTTGGTTTCTTTAAAGTTGCAGCCCCTGCCCTTCCCTAACCCAGAGGCTCTGGTCAGCATCAGCCCTGCTGCCTGTGCCCCAGGCTCAGGCCTGGCTCTGCTATACAGAATCAAGGAGAGTGAAAGGCACCGAGATGCTGTTCTTGGTACCACTGGCCCACGGACAACAGCACCAAACTCCTCAAGGTCTGCAAGCCCCAGCCCCAGCTCATGGGCCATTCAAAAGTGTTTTCTATTTATTTACGTGTTTATTGGGTGCCCAGTATATGCCAGGGACTGGCCCATTGGGCTACAGTGGTGAGCAAGACAGACATGCTCCCATGTCTGCTCCCATGGCCACCCTATCCCCATGGCATAGATGAAGAAACTCAGGCTCAATACAGCTAGAGATTTGTCCCAGCTAGTGGGTGTGGAGGAGGAGTCTGGATCTGGACTGCAGCTTGACTCCTAAGTCCGCCCTGGTCATGCTGCCTCTCTTGGCCCTCACTACGTACTGGCATTGCCCCAGTACCGCCAAGGCTTGGCAGTCCCTACTAGCCAGGGATCTGACTGCCCGCTTTGAACCAGACCCCAGGCTCTGGGGGCTGTGCCTCAACCTGTTACCTCCTAGCCAGCATGGAAGCAGGTAATAGCAGCTCAGTTGGGACTTCTCCTGGGCACAGGGCTGGGCGGTGACCTCATCTTTTGCATCACCTGCTCTCACAGACACTTTGGGCACTAAGAAGATGAGAAGGGTGAGGTTCCAAGAGTGTTTCTGGCCTGCCTAATAGGGAGACTTGTGACCAGGCATTCCCAAGGAAGAAGCCAGCCCAGAGCAGCTTTCCCTCACTGGCTCCACAGCTGCCTGTCACTACCCACTCTTCCCACGGAAGACCAAGGCCCTGTCCCCTTCCAGTGTGCCAAGCGATGGGGACACTTTTCTTTTCACTTCTGGGCCACCAGCCACCGCCCCAGGGGGTAGAACTGGGACATGCCTGGTGACCATGTAGCTTGTGCTCGCCTCCCTTTACTGACCCACCCATTCCTCTGCTGTTGCCAGGGCAGGATGGGGATTGTACCCTGGCAGGCAGCCTTAGCTAGCAGCAACTAACACCCCATCCCTGGCCTTGCCCATCACTACTGTCCTGGAGGAAACTCCCAGAATGCATCCTGGCAGGAAGGGTAAAAAGTAAACAGAGAAAACAAACCAAAGGAAGGCTCAGAAGGCCCCAGATCTGATGCCAAGAAGCTGAGGTTCAGAGAGGCCTGTGAGGAGGAGCCCCAGAGCCTAGAGGGGCAATTCCAGCCCAGAGGCCTCTGACTTGCTCTCTTGTCAGCGCCATGCTGCCCCCTTGTGGTCGCATTTCAACTGCAAGACCAGCGCTTGGGAAGTTTGAGGGAAGGTACAAGGGTGGCAGGAAGCCCCCACTTACTGATCTCTTGATTTCCTCTGCTCCTCTCTCTGCTTCCCTAGACCTCTGCAGGAGAAGACAAACCCAGAAAGGTAAGTGGCCTGGCCGGGGCTCAGGGCTCTTCTCAGGCCTGCCAGCCCCTGTCCTAGCATGGGGGCCCCAGCCACCTTGTCCTGATGCTTTGGCTTATTGCAGGAGGAGACCCAAGGTCAGGGGGAAGAGGAAGAGAGAGAAGCAGAAACCCACAGGCTGCCACCAGTGAGTGTGCGGGGAGCCCAGGGATGGCAAGGAGGCTGAGCCCAAGGGGGGCCTTGCCCAGCGGTCAGTGGCTGGGGAGGGGGAGAGGCAAGGTTTAGGGAGTCTTAGGGGCCAGAATAGGGGCTGCACTTCTTCAAGGGCCCAGGAAGCATGAGGGCATTTTGATTCTTGTCTTCGTTTAGTCTCAAATCTCAAATCTCTGTGTGGCCTTAAACACGTCATTTCACTTCTCTGAGCTGAGTTTTTCTGTGTGTAGAATGACCAGGCAGGGGGTGTACACCGAGCACAAGGTCATTATGCAAACATTGACCAAGCACTTCCTGTGCCAGGTGCATTAGCGAATGATATTTCTAAGGCTTAGGGTCTAATGATGAGGAGTTATCTAGGACTACATCCTGGCAGCCCTGGGGAAGGTGCAGCCCCTACTGGCTCCTAGGCCAGTGCTTCCTCTTCCCCCTCTGTGTTCCCTGCCCATCTTGGCTTCACACCTGGGACAGCAGGCTGGAGTCCAGGGTTGAGTGTGGTTGGCAGAGAAGAATTAGGGAAGGGGGCACCCAACCTGTGAGTCAGAAATAAAAATAAAATGTTTCATATGTACAGTGAATTAGGCACACTAGGTTCACCTTTGGGTCTAAGTCTCCTAGCTCCAAGATCAGAAATCATTTCATGCTACAGAAGTGAAGGTGATCCAGGCCCTGGCCCCACAAACTGGCTTCTCTGCAGGCAGAGATGTCCCCCCAACTCCACAAAGACAGGGATTTGGCGAAGTTCATCCCCCCAAGGCTTATGGCCCTCATTTCTGCCCTGGGCCCATGCAATAATTTGGGACAAGGACTGGAGGTAAAACAACCCCAGCCAGGCAGCCCCAGATTCAAAGTGTCCCATCGCCCCATTTTCTGGGCATCAGTCTTTAAATGTTACTTTTAGGAATTCTTTAGAAAGAATTTCAAAAGCCCATGTGCTCCCTTGCTCATTTTTAGGTTGCTATTGAACTTTTTCATCATAATTATAAGTGGTTACAAAGGATGTAATTTCTAGCGTATCAGAAACATTAATGTTTAATATAAACCTATTAAACAGTGAATATGTAATAGCCTATGGAATATGCCACCCTAATTTAATACCTTCACCTAGTTGTTTATTTAATATAATTAATTAATTTGTTTGTTTATTTAATTTTTGCAGTAGCAGGGATTGAACTCAGGACCTTGCACTTGTGAGGAAGGTGCAGTGCCACTGAGCTAAATCTCTGGCTCTTAATACCCACCACATACAACTTTTAAAAATCGAGTAGTCAAAAATAAGCTTACATTCTTCATAATCACATATTTACTTTGCTTCTATTTTCCTAAAATTTTGCATTTCCATTTCTTTTCCCCACAGAATTTCAGCCTAATGTAATTTTATTTTTATTGCTCAAAAGTCTTATTTATCATCTTGCTATTTATCTGCCACAGAGATGCTATGTGAGTTTGAATTATTTTAAATTTCCTGTGAGCATGAAACCAAATTAAATTTCCCCCTAGAATAAATTATCAAAAGTAATTATTAGTAGTACCACTTCATCAAAACAGCACATATACATCATGTTTTAATAAATGTAACATGTAAAAAATACAATCAGTCTTACTGGGAAGGCATCTCAATGAGATGGATATGGCTACTTCTTTTTAATTAGTTAATGACTTCAGTAATGAATATTACTTCCTGCCAGACTGAGACAGGATTCTGCATAAATTCCACTCCTGTTTATCATTTTTTATAGAGGAAAAGGTTGAGAAACCATCCTCATAAATGTAAGTAAATGAAACTGAATGCCATGGAACTATTTGAACTACACCCAAGTTATTTGCCCCAAACCTTCAGGTGATCTGTTAACAATTACTTCTAGGGCTGGGTGTGTAGATCAGTGTTTGCCTACCATGCAAGAAGCCCTGGGTTTGATTCTCAGCATAGGTGTGTGTGTGTGTGTGTGTGTGTTTGTAAACTTCTAAGGACACACTACTGGCTGACAGTGCCCTTAGTTTGCTCTTCAGTCCAGTTGAAAGAGTTGGAAACTGCCTGACTTGCAAATGGCTTGATTATCCAGTCCTTAGCCCTATTTCCTTCCTCAACACCTACACCAAGCTCTCAAATTGTCCTGTTTTGTGCACTTGGGATACTTTGACCTTGCAACAAAACACTTTTACAGGATTTGGGACTCACGAGACGCCTCCTTTCTCCTAAAGGGAGAAGGACAGTTGTGAACAGCCAAGCAGACCTCAGGCACTTTCTCATGCAAATAATTTCAAGGCTGAATACACAGGAAGGCTGAAAATTGGTTTCCTTAAAACTATTAATTCTAAGCCTTTGTTCCTCTGTTTATAGACTACTGTCTGAAAGTAACCAGAGGCATTACTAGGGAAGCCAGGCTGAGTTCTCATGCGACTGTCACTGACTAGTGTGTGACCTTGTGTGTGACCTCGGGCAAATTTCAAAGTCTCTGGGCCTGGTTCCTGGTCTCAGTATCTTCCTCATGGGGTGTTGCTAGCGGTAAATGAGACAGTGCTGGTGCAGGGCTGGGTGCCTGGATAAGTGCTGTGTGAAGTGCAGCCCCCTGCTGCTTGTTGGCCTGGGTGTAAGCAGGGTTCCAGAAGTGCTGCATCCTTCCTGTGCTCCTTGCCTAAGCTCCCCCCTTTGCCTCCCACCACCACAGGAGGGGGCCCTGTCCCCCACAGTGCACTGATATCCCCTGCCTTGTCTGTGTTTGTTCTCTGGCAGGTGCGGTGAACGTGCTCCCCGGAGGTAACCAGGCCCTCAGCGGAGAGACCCCACACCCAGCTCCTGTATTTATTACTGTCACACTCTCGGTGACCTCCCTGCTGGTACCTTCCCTCTATTTATTAGCCAACTGCATCCCTGCTGAATGACTTGCTCCCTCCAAGACAAGGAGCAAGGAGGGACAGGACCCTCAGGAATTCAGTGCCTTAAACAGAACGTGAGAGAAGGAAAGAAGCCATCCACAGACCCGTGGGAGCTTCGGCTTGGAAAGAAACAAGACGTGACCATGTGAGGGGCAAGCTGGACCCTAGAAGCCCCAGGTCCCCAGGGGACTGGAGAAGAACAGAGAGCCGGCCCTTCGAGGACTCCTGGCCTGAGGGTCTGCTCTGCCAGCAGCTTTTGCCCTGGTTGCTCCTGGCCCAGGCCGGGCAGGCGCCTGCTCTGGCCACCATGTCCCTGGCTGGGTGGGAAGGCAGGCAGCCGGTGGAGGGGATCCAACCGCATCCTCCTCTCCCTGGCAGCAGACACTTGCCCTGGAGATTGGGATGTTCAGCTCTGGAGAACAGCGCTTGCCTGGGGCCTTTTGCCACTCCTGTTCCTCTTAGGTTGCTCCCCTCACATTTTGCCTCCAGCTTATTCTAGGACATGGTTTTTTTCCAGCCAGGGTGCCGTGAGCCTGCCCCCACTTGGGGATGCAGGCAGAGTGGGCTCCGGGCTGGACAGAAAGCAGGGTGGAGGAGGAGCAGCCTGGGCAGTGGGGATGAGCTCACTGGGAGAGAAACCTATGTGTCTTAGCCCAGCAGCTGTGGAGCAGATTCCCCAAGGGCCCCTGTACCCACCAGCTGCCCCTGCAGGGGTATCTGTCTGCCAAGCCAGATTCTCTTGAATAAAGCATTCTAGTCTGGAAAAAGCTTGTCCAGGGGAGTGTGTATAACAGAGGATGGGCAGAGTGGGTGAGGGGATGCCAGGAGCCCAACACCATTGTTATACCTCATTTTCCTCATCTTCAAAAACCTGCTCAGGTTTTGAGAAAGCACATCCCACTACATGACAACAGGTCAACTTTCTCCTTCCTTCCTTCCTCCTTTTGACAGCTGTCTTAGTCACCTTGTGGTTTCTGAGTCACAATACCTAGCACTCACAACTTAAAAGAAGAGAGGCTTATTTTGGCTCACAGTTTCAGAAGTTTCAGTGCATGGCAGGCCGGCTCAAATGCAGAAACAGTATGGTGGAAGGGCCTGCAGTGGTAAAAAGGTGTTCATGGCATGGTGTCTAGAAAGCAGAGGAAGAGAGAAGGTAGTAGCTCAGGACTGGAATATACCCTTCTAGGTCACACTCCCATGATCTGCCTCTTCTGGCGAGGCCCCACCTCCTGACAGCACACTCAGCCAATGAACTGACCAGTGGATGAATCCACTGACTAGTACAGCACAGCCATGATCCAACCACCCTCCAAAAGCCCCACCTCTGAGTGCATGAGAGTTTTGGAGGACAGTCCAGATCCAACTGCAACACTCTGCCCATGGCCCCCATTAAGATTGTCTTTATGCAAAATGCATGAAATCTATTTTTAAGAGTCACCAAAGTTTTAATAGTTCCAGCATTGCTAGAAAGTTCAAGTCCAAAGTCTCCTCTGAGATTCAAGGTAAACTCTTAGCTGTGAACCCCTGTAAAAATCACAAAGAAAGTTAAACACTACCAACATGCAATGGCACAGGATAAACATTCCCATTCCAAAAGGGAGCTGTAGGAAAATAGAAAGGAACGGGACCAAAGCAAGACTGAAACCCAGCAGGGCAAACATTAAATCCTGTAGTTCTATGTCCAGTGCCTGGAGCAAGTTTTGACAGGATGTGAGCTCCAAAGGCTTAGGCAACCCTGCCTCTACAACATTGCTATTTGTAGCCCTCATAGCCTCTCTCTTGGACTGGCTCTGTTCACTGTCTGTGATTTTACTTAGCAAACATTCCTGACTTTGCCACTTCCTGAGGTCTCCTCTGCACTTTCTGCTTCACAGCTTCACACAGTACCTTTTCA